TCAGTTGTGTGTGTGTGTGTGTGTGTGTGTGTGCGTGTTCAATGTCAGTTGTGTGTGTGTGTGTGTGTGTGTGTGTGTGATCAGGAGCTGAAACAGCAGGACTGGAACAGCGTACGTTCGCATGTTGCGTTATTTCTGGTGGCTCCAGATTGAATTAAATCCCGGATTAATCAGATGAGGAATCGCGCGAGCAGCACAAAGCCCAAAATTAAATTATTCCCCTCCCTTCTCACCCGCGCTCCCAGCATGCCCTGCTGCACGTGATGCTGATTCAGCCGCGTGTTAACGTACACGAACGCTGATTTCTCACGGCCTGGTGAGGGACAGACGGAACGATAGAACACGTTTACAGAGAAATGCACAGAGCTGCGTTGTCAGAAGATGAGAAGTAAAATAATCCACAGTCTAATCCAGAGAGGCTTTAATCTGGATTAATCTGGTGCTGAGAACAAACGCGGCGGCGAACAGCTCCGCTCTGACCTCGGGGAAATAAAACGAGGATCACAGAGCTGCAGCGTCTCAGGAATGGAAATTAGTCAGAGGTCAAAGGAGACGATTCATAAAAAAAATAATGACTTCATTTAAAGAAAATCCAAAAAAAAATTGCTCTTCATGGAGTTCTTTTGAATTTAATGTGAAATATTTGTTTGAATCAGATTTTTCATTTTAATCTTTTGACCAAAATAGCCTTCGCTGCTAAATGTTAGCTTTAGTTTACGAAAAATTACAGGAATTTTAGTCAATTAAAGGTGCGTTAGATAAGATTTAGATAAGATTTAGATAAGATTTAGATAAGATTTAGATAAGATTCGTCAACATTTGTCTCTAATGATGAAATAGAAGTTATATAAGATTTGTTAAATTGTTAAATTAAATGTAAAATTGAATAAGATTTGTTTAATTTTTTTTAACTCCTTGAGCCCGCCCTTCCATTCCGTCCATGTTCACAAAACTCCGCCCCCAGAACCTAAGGTGGCTCAACTAGCGCTAGCATGCTAACTCAAGTTCAAGCACACTTGTGTTTATAGTTATAACACTTTAAACACACGAAAGAAATTTGCTTTATACTGTATGATTTATGATAATGTTCATGAGTGTCTTCTCTGTCCTGTTTTATTTTTTTTTGTAATTAGCATTGACGAGCTTTAGCTAGCATTACACAACTTTCTATAAAGGTGCTTTGTCTAAAGCATTACCTTCTCCAGCTCTCGAAATGATAAAAACATATCTGCTTGATTCGTTATGTTATATAGATTGTGTTTACAGACCTGTCCAGGAGCGACATCGCTAACTCCATGTCCAGCTTCATCGCCTTCACCAGTAATAAAATGTTTCATCACAGCCAGTGTGTATTCTGGATTTTTTTTTTTTTTTTTGAAGCACAGTGTAGTTTTTTGCTCACAGGAGAATTATCTGGCTGCGCTGGGCGTGTACCGGTTTCAGCCATGTTGTTCTTTCTGAACAGACTGAGATAGGGGCGGAGTGAAGGGATATTGGGGGCGGGACTATAAAATGACTGACAGGAAGAAACACAAACAAGCACTTTTCCCAAATAGGTTTCTTTCAGCTGCATAACACACTCCTGCTGAGATCGTGGCTTAAACATTTATTTTTATCACGTTCTACACAGTTTTCCAGTTATTTGTACAAAAGAAATAAATCAACTATTGCACCTTTAAAACAAAATATTTAATTTTTTGTCTCGAGTATTTTAATTTTTAACAATATTTAGGGTTAAGTAATAATTTTTTGAGTACTGATTAACTTTTTTTCATCATTTGCTGTAGAACTTATACTCAATCTCTCTCCAATCTCTCTCTCTCTCTCTCTCTCTCTTTCTTTCTTTCTTTTGCATATCACACCATATCCCAGTTCCTCATCTCCTGCTCCTCAAGAACATAACGGCAGACAAGAGAAACTTGTGTGTGTGGGTGTGTGTGAGAGAGAGTGTGTGTGTGTGAGAGAGTGAGTGTGTGTGCGTGTGTGTGTGTGTGAGAGAGAGAGAGTGTGTGTGTGTGTGTGTGTGTGTGTGTGTGTGTGTGTGTGAGAGAGAGAGAGAGAGTGAGTGTGTGTATGTGGTACTGCTCCAGATTCCCCTCCAGCCAGCATACAGAAGTTCATATGTGGATCTACATAAGGTCAGAACCTCATGACCCTACGCTTTCTCTCTCTCTCTCTCTCTCTCTCTCTCTCTCTCTCACACACACACACACACACACACACACGCTTGGGTCAGCGCTGCCTGTGGGAGAGTCGAAGCTGAGGAAACTGAAGATGTGGTTATTGATTTTAAACAGTGTTGTGTGGAGTGGATTCTTCTTCTTATGAAATGCTTCTGTGTCCTTTTAATGTTTTTTTCTTTCTTTCTCATTCTTTCATTTATTATTTCATTATTTCTTTCTTTTTTCTTTATTTATTTCTGCCTTTTTTTTTAATAACACCCATTTCAAAAATTTCTTTCTTTCTTTTTACTGTCCTTCTTTTTAAATGTCTCTCTTTTATTAATGTATTCCTTTTTAACTTATTTTCTTCTTAATCATCTTTTTCTTTCTTTCTTTTTTCTTTTCTTTATTTTTTATTTTAAATGTTCTTTCTTTCTTTCTTTCTTTCTTAATAGAGAGTCAGAGTCTCTTCTTTTTTATTTGCAGA